CTCTCTCTCTCTCTCTCTCTATATATATATATATATATATATATATATATAGTGATTTTCTAAGTGAACGGTAGATATGGCATAAGGACGAAATTATGGAGCACATACTGAATATCAATCTCTCCATATATATATATATATATATATATATATATATATATATATATATATATATATATAAAAGGAAGAACAATGATATATGTAATCCGGTGTTCATATTGATATTTTTATTTTACAAGACAGTGCGCAATGTAAATTTACAGACCATAAATATTATAAATTAATTAAGATTTAAAAATATGGTTTCATCGCTACACAGGAATTAGAATGTTTCAAAAACAGAAAACTGTAAGAACTGTCCGAATGTTTTATATTTCAGAGCGCTTTCGGCTATAACTTTAGCCATTATCAAGGATGATTCGATTATCAGCTGATAATCTAATCATCCTTGGTAATGGCTAAATGTATAGCCGAAAGCGCTCGGAAATATAAAATATTCGGACAGTTCTTACACACCCTTTGTCCAGAAATGAAAGCTCTTGTCAGAACACAAGAAAAATTAAATAAAAAGCTCAACCGTAGTACCTTGTCTGTCGTTTTTAATAAAACATGCATATATATATATATATATATATATATATAGTAATGAATAAAATTAAATGTTCACTTATCTTTCGGGGCCCTGGGTTTCGTGGAGATTATATCTACTCGTCGGGGATTGGGTTTGTTAGCTAAATCTTACCATGAAACCTACTGGGCTTGATGGTAAGATCTTAATTTCCATGAAAGCGAAAGATACGTGAAAATTTTGTTTTATTCGTGAACATTGATACTGTATCACTTGATACTGAGGACAAAAACGCCTTATATTAAAAATAATACCTTCCATAAATAACATTTTTTATGAAAGATAATACTTGTGAAATATATATATATATATATATATATATATATATATATAAATAATGGACTCTCCCGTCGGTTTCGACGTATGAGGAGCTGGCAGCTTATTGATTCAGTTATGAAATTTTGTGCGATAATCTTAAGTAGCATTTAAGACCAGCTAGTGATTTACAAAGGAGGCCACATATGGAGCAATTGTGAGATGAGATCACTGTTAGATTAGCTGACCTTTTAGATCTTGATCTCACTTCTTGAAAATGATTCAGACAAGCAGATTGAAAATTGCTGAGTCCACTAAAACACGTTGATCTCCATTCGACACTCTCCAAGGCTAAGCGCTCAAGGGCGTTATGTGGTATATTAACTGCTGACAAGTTGCTTTTCAGCTTGTCTTTGTATCTTAGCCAAGGGCGTCCTATATTCTTGTAGCCCTGATATATATACATGTGTGTGTGTGGAATATATGAAAACCAATTCGATGTCAACATTTTTATTTAAGTTGTGACATTTTAATTGTCATTTTCAGAATACAAATTATCTTGTAAAAATTCTCCTGTAAATTATCCAAACGTCAACATTGAAATAAAATAAAATTCAATATCTATATATAAGGGGGCAATTCGAGAATGAGATTTAACAGTGAATTGTTTTCTAGTGAGTCTGTGTGAGAGTGGTAATCTTAATGTGTGTTTATACATACGATGCATATACGGTATGCAACCATAAAAATATTTTGTGTGTATTTTTTGTGCAAAATTTTGAATATGCAAGAATGAAATATTACAGGGTGGGGTCACCAGAAATACCAATGTTGGGCATGACGCAAAATCGGCTGGGAACCACTGGACTAGTTCCACCTATAGAACCAGCGACAACCAGACATTTAAAACGGTATATGATTGAACTGCTATGATGAAATAGCAGGATATCATTACGATTTGATTTTAATTGGTATGGCACAAGGCTACACGTATTGAGCTGACGGCCGAACGGAGAGCAATCGACATGTTCTGAGACACCAACTTCTTTCTTTGAAGGAGCCTATCGCAATGTCATTATCTACAATTGTCGTCGTTGAAACAGTCATCCAATAGATGTTGCTCTAGGCTGTCTTAAACGTGATAACAATTCTCACGTATCCAATGATTTCTAAGTTAATCGACTGTAAAAAGAAAAGAAAAGAAAATGAGAAACAAGAAGCGTCCTTTGACGTAGTTCTTTGTAATTATATATTGATCTTATAATCACTATTCGTTACTGGAGAACTGACTTGGGTAAAATCTGAAATAATTTCTCTCTTTCACGTGTTTTCTTTTTCTTTCTTTCTTTTTTTTTTTAATTCTCCTCTTCTCTTTTTATTTCCTTTCTTTAAGGTCGCGTCCTGTAGTCATTTGTTGCAAATTTCCACATCGAGCGTTTCTGGCAGTCATTTCCGGTTCTTACTTCCGGTGACGTTTTTGTCGTTGGTTTAACAATGGAAATCGTTTTCCCTCACGCACGTCCGTCTCGTTTCTCGGCCCCCTCTCTATTTTCTCAACATTTTTTCTCTCACTTTGCTCTTCCACTTTCTTTCTCACTTTTTTTCACTTATTTTGCTGACGTTCTCTTTACGTCAATACCTTTTTTTTATCTCTCTTTCTCTTATTTCTCCTCTCCACTTTCTTCTCTCTTATTTCTTTTATTTTATTTCCCCCTCCACTTACGTCCTTTTCTCTCTTTCTTCGTTCCCCACCTCTTTAAGTTTCTAATTCATTTCTATACCTCCCTTTTTTCTATACCGTTGTTTTGCTCCCTTCTCACGTTTTTGGCCTTTCTCTTCCCTCCAGCTTCTTTTTTTACCTCTACAGTGGAACCTCGGATCACGAAAAAATCACTTCACGAACTGTTACAGTTTTTTGTGTATATGTAACTAGTGAGCCAATCCAAATGACTTAACTCCCTTTATAGTCTACCAATACAAGGTTAACCAATCAGAAGACGCAGAACATTCTATCCGTCGTGTATAAAGGCGGCCATTTTTGTTTACCCAACCCGAATGACCAATGCCAACTTGTCAGGCGTAGATGACAGTAGGAAGTACTACGCTCTGCTACTTTGCTGCGATATCCACTGCTAACCTGAACTACGCTTTCCTACTGTCTCCGAAATATTCACTGCTAACCTCTGGATTCTATACTCGAAGACGACCGTCATAAAATGCCTAACAAGAACAAACTTTCAAATAAAAGTATTCTCTGTTGACTAAAGAGAAACAAACTCTAAAAATACCTGACTTTTTCATGGAAAGCTCCAATACAAAAATTTCAGAGTGATTGGGTGTCAATCCGAGGACAGTGTAGAGGAAAGACTTGGATGATTCTGATGTGACCGCAGCTCGGAAAACTCACCCTGATCTTTCTGATACGAAAATAACTGCCGAATTTGTTCGTGAGGTCCACAGACTCAAGTGCCTTGAGGAGATAGTGTTTCTCTGAGTCAAGAGAGTGGCTGGTGGAAGACCCTATGTCTGTCAACCACGCCACAAGCAGAAGAACCCAATCATGGCTGTCAGACAATTTCTGCAACCGCATCATCCCTTATATCTAACCACCTAACTCCTCAGACTGCAGCCGTATTGATTATTATGTGTGGGGCGCAGTGGAAATAGAGGCCAACAAAACTCCTTGTAACATCAAAGATGACCTGAAGGGAAGAAGGCCGTGGTTGAAGCCAACAGCAATTTGATTGAATGAATTTACCCTTTAGTATTTCAAGAGATATTTGTTTAATTTTGGTAAATATATCTGGTAAAATGAGATGTCAGTGATATTTTCATATTTGCGTCATTAAAACGTCAATTTATCCATCGGACCCTATATATATATATATATATATATATATATATATATATATATATATGTGTGTGTGTGTGTGTGTGTGTGTGTGTGTGTGTGATTTTTTAAACCCTTAAACATGAAAAGAAATTAATATAACAAATTAAAACAAACCCACTTGAAAATGGATAAAAAACTGGCCGAAAGTGCATGGTACTATGGAAAATACCGACACTTTTTGCTCTCACACCAAATGGAAAAATATTGGAAAAGATAAATAAAAAAAATCAACGAGGGAGAACTAAGTATAATGTGAACTGATACGGTAATGGTAATTGTGGTGCCGTAGTAATTATGGACTAATGCGGCAATGGTAATTGTGATGTGGTAGTAATGGTGGGTGAGTGGGTGATGATAATTACAATTGTAGCAGCAAATAGTTATTGTAAAATGGTAGAAGTGATTGTAGTAATGGTGATGGAATGATAATAACAATAATTATAATTATTATGATGGTAGTTTGAAGTAGAAAGTAATTGATGGTGTTATGGTGTCAGTGGTTTCTCTTTTCATGTTCATAGGATCAATGGTGTTTTATATAGTAGTGTTGGTTGGTATTTTTTCCGTTTGGCATAAATTGTAGATAATAGATATTTGTTTTCATGTCTGCATTTCAGAGAATGCCGCATCTAAGATGATCCATTCTTTTGACGTACTTTTAGTGGAGCTTCGGGACGAATATTTTGTCTGTCTATTCAGGTGCGTCCAAGAAGAATAAACCACCTTTCCAAAGGCGAACAGTTGAAAATGGTATTGTAAGCTGGCCCTTAAGCAACTTTGGCTCGTTTTCGCTGACATACCGTTCAAGAACGTCGACGTTGTAGGAAGTTTCCTGAATTATACTTGTTGGAAGAGTATTTGAACTCGTTCGGTGAACTTGGAGCAGACCGCAATAAATATCCGGAAAAATCCTATCTTCGATGTAAATAAGCGTTCTGTTTATAAATTCGTCACTGAATCTTGCATCGAAGACACAAAGCATTATTTGTCCATGATGTTTGAAGTATTCAGAGAGGTGCATTTATATTTCTCCCATAAAGGCAGAGGATCGCTGAGCTCACAGCAGAGATGACGGAGACTTCTTGCTGTTCGCATTACAGCAGGCTCCGCGAGAGTTGCCTCCCACTGAGCACCATAGTCCAGTATCCCCTGTTTGAAGCAGGCCTCGCGGTACTTGCTTCAAACGTGCCCATTAAACTTTTTCAATTCGTCGAAACACTTTGAACCTCATGTAACAGAAGCCGAAGATAGAAACACTCCTTTTAGCTGGGGTGAACTGTATATACCCTGTCATCAATGATCAAACTTAATGCCTGGATGTCCATAAACCGTATCACCTATATTCCTTCATATCCATCTGTTGCCCTTCCAAGTGTAACATGATGCTACTTGTGGATATAGAAGTGACTGAATCAATAAAATACTGTTAATTGATTGGATAATTAATAGTGATGGACATAGAAATGTAAGTGAGCAAACACTAAGGACGTGTTATAAGTAGACGTTCACACGAATTAAGGGACTGAAAGGGTGCATTATTAGTGTTTACGCGCACAGGTCAAATGTGTTTACAATCATCCCCTTGTTATCAGGCAATACGCAAACTATATTAAAGAATATGGTGGCGAAAAGGTGGACATTATGATCGTAGGTAGTAATAATGGGAAAGGGGAAGTGGTTACAGCAGTAGTTTACATCAAATAAGACACTGAAGCGGTGCCATAAATAGTATTCACGCCCACATGTCAAAGGTCATGCTCGCAGTTCACTTAGTGTTATTACACCATGGGCGAAGTAAAGTTTAATCAGTTTAATTAAATAGCAAATGTTTTATCAGTTTAATCAAATAAATAGCAAATTTAAAGCGAATAAACGCGACAAAACATTAGTTTAAAGCAATTCCTTAAGTATGGGTAATATTCCTGCCAAATTTGAAGCGAAGTAAAGTATAATCAGTTTAATCAAATAGCAGAAATCTAATCAGTTTAAGCAAATAAATCGCAAATTCAATGTGAATTAACTTGATAGAAAATTAGTTCTAAACATTCCTTGAGACATGAATGATGTTTGTATAAAATTTGGAGTGAATCAGTTAGAAACCGCAGAAGTTAATGGGAAAAAAAACAAATTTTACGCAGTTATTAGCGGATTTTTCTCGATTAACGCGAATGACTTTAAAAGAATTTAATGAAAATCTCTTGAAAAATCAGACAGTTATGTGCAAGAAAATAGATTTCTAAACAGTTTTTCGCGGTTTCTATTATTGACGACTGTGACGATTTTTATTATTATGATACTCACGTTCGTCAATAATACAGAAGCAGTCAACGTTAACAATACAAACATCATCATCACCATGACCACAAAGAGAACCCAAAGACCCAGACCAATAAGAGTGTATGTGTTCGTCTACATATGTGTAAGTGTAAGTTTGTCTGACAACACAGGCGGTAGATCTGAAAAGCGTCAAGAACACGCCGAACCCCTCCATGTTGAAATGAACATCGCTACACATAAAAAGCTACGGTCCCAACACCGAAATAGAATTAAAATTGTGTATGTATATATGCTCGAGCGTATGGGTGTGTCTCTGCGCCTGGCATAGGATTGTTTATATGGGTTCGCTTGTACGAACTAAAATTCGTACACCTGTATGTGTGTGTGTGTGTGTCTATTTGTGCGAGAGTGTCCCCCCGAACAGGCACCGAGAGAAATTCCCCCTCACACCACCAAACCTAGTCAAACAAGTATAAATATACCCAATTTAAAAAAAATAAACAATTTGTGTGATGATCGCAAACTCATATCCATACAACTGAATATATATATATATATATATGTCACTGCCAGTGTGTCAAACTTTTTCAGTTCAAGGGACACAACTCTCAATAGTTCATCTTCTATATAATAAATGCTAATGTCAGTGTGCCCATGTGTCACACTTTTTCAATTAAAGGGACACAACTCTCTGACTCAATAGTTCATGTTACAGTATTTTTGGATTGCCAAATTTTCATTACTGCGATTTTTTATGTGATTGTTTGCGACGATTTTTTGGTACGATAACAATTTTAAAACTTGTAAATAAATTTGGGAATAATTGAAATTAATTGCGAAATCCATCGAAAGTAACCCATGAAATAAAAAAAATGTAAGGAAAGTAATGAGCTACGCGCATCAAATTGTCTTTAAATTATGTGGCGGCTAAAGAATATTACTGCAATACTTAAATGCAGAGATCAATTTTGAGTTCTGTAGTTTACAGAGAACCAGATTGCAATAAAAAAAAAAAAACCAAGGCTGCAGCGAAGAAAAGAAAGTCCCGTTTAAATGAGGACCCAAATAAAACGGCTTCCCGGAGAGCTTCCAATGCTGAGAATATGCAAAGACTTAAGCATTCTCAAACACCTGAACAAGCCGAAGGCCCAATCAAGAACCCACCGAAGGGTCTATCGTAAATTCCGCCCAATAGGACGGCTATTAAGCGAGTTTGTTTTGTCAAGAAAAGTGATATACACTTTGAACATGGATGTACTTATATATATATATATATATATATATATATATATATATATATATATATATATATATATATATATATATAAAATATATCAACCACAATTTTAAGGTACCATTACAATAATTTATTTCTTTTAGACAAAATCCTTTTTTTAAAGAAAAATTTTTCATTGTTTGGAAAATTTACCTGATGATCCGAAATCCTTTAAAAGATTTTGGCTGATGAAATAAATTATTGTAATGGTACCTTAAAGTTTACAATTTGTTAAATATTAGGCTCAGTTCTTCACATTGAGCTCTCAGGATTTCATCATCCTTGACATTTACCAATTCGGTTTTTACCAGGTTCTTTAAAACTTAACTATAAATATATATATATATATATATATAAATAAAACTATGACCCTAAAGAGGCAGGAAAACCTACCGCGTAAAGTGAAACCTAGGTAGTTTTACCTGGCGCTGCAGGTTCATGTTCAAACCAACTTGTCTCTGACTTTCCTATATTGAGCAATTTGAATTAATTATTTTACTTTTACTCAGGTCGGGGTTATTTTTTTTTTTTTTTTTTGGAATTTGAATTTATATGTCGATTGTTTTTTTTCTGAATTACTTTTCTTTCTGCTTTCTTTTTTATTCCTTATTTTTCCTTGGGTATTGGTTTCATTCATTTTTACAAGCTTTTTCTAAATTTTTTCCAGACGAGTTCTATACTTATATTTATAAGATTTATATATATATATATATATATATATATATTTTTATATATAAATATATATATGTATATATATGTGTGTGTGTGTGTGTATAAATTTATTCAAAGTGGAAAATTCTTTTTCTTCCCTCTCCACTTATATATTTATATATATATATATATTATTCCTAAAAAAAAATCCTATATATATATATATTTTCTCCTATATACTTCATAAATATTTATTCTTTTCCTTCAACTAATGTATACACATTATTTTTCAGAACAATGTTTTCCTACATCAACATTCCTCTTTGAAAATTTTTTTCTTGGTGACGTTATATTTTTTCTTTTATCCTTCCTTCTCATGGACGGATATTTTTCTTTTTCTTTCCTAAAATATTTGAGAATTTTGCGTCTTTATTTGTTATTTTTTCTTCCTTCTCTTAAAAGCCATTTCTCGTCTCGTTCAATGCATCTTTTTGCCTTTCTCAACTTCTTTTATTCAAAACCAACCACTTATTCCCACTTTCGATTTTATTTCTTCTTTTCTTCTCTCTCCTTTCCTCTTTTGTTCTTTTTCTTTCTTTCCCTCATTTTTCCTTTTCTTTTATTTCTTTTTTTTCTTTTTTTCATACTTTTTATTTCTTTTATTCTTTTTCCTCTTTTTTCTTCTTTTCTTCCTTCTCTCTCAAAAGGATATTTTTCTTTCTTCTTTTCCTTTTAATTCTTCTAAAATATTTTTATTTCCATTTTTTCCTTCTTCGTCCTTCTCTTTTATTTGTTGAGAAATCTTATCTTACTAGCCATTTCTCCTTCTCAATTTTCAATGGGTATTGTCTTCTTTTTTCCCTCTCCACACTCTCTCTTTTATTCTCGTTTTTTTTTTCAAACCAACCACTTTTATTTCTATCCACTTTCAACTTTCCTTTTATTTCTTCTTTTTCATCTCTCTCAACTTTCCGCTTTTATTTCTTCTTTTTCTTTCCTCTCAACTTTCCTCTTTTATTTCTTCTTTTTCTTCCCTCTCAACTTTCCTCTTTGATTTCTTCTTTTTCTTCCCTCTCAACTTTCCTCTTTTATTTCTTCTTTTTTTTCTCTCTCAACTTTTCTCTTTTATTTCTTCTTTTTCTTCCTTCTCAACTTTCCTCTTTTATTTCTTCTTTTTCTTCCTTCTCAACTTTCCTCTTTTATTTCTTCTTTTTCTTCCTTCTCAACTTTCCTCTTTTATTTCTTCTTTTTCTTCCTTCTCAACTTTCCTCTTTTATGTCTTATTTTCTTCCCTCTCAACTTTCCTCTTTTATTTCTTCTTTTTCTTCCTTCTCAACTTTCCTCTTTTATTTCTTCTTTTTCTTCCTCTCAACTTTCCTCTTTTATTTCTTCTTTTTCTTCCTTCTCTAAACTTTCCTCTTTTATTTCTTCTTTTCTTCCCTCTCAACTTTCCTCTTTTATTTCTTCTTTTTCTTCCCTCTCAACTTTCCTCTTTTATTTCTTCTTTTTCTTCCCTCTCAACATTCCTCTTTTTCTTCTTTTTCTTCCCTCTCAACTTTTTCTTTTATTTCTTTTTTTTTCCCTTTTATTGCTTCTTTTCTCTTTTATTTCTTCTTTTCTTCCTCCTCTCAACTTTCCTCTTTTTATTTCTTCTTTTTTCCCTTCTCAACTTTCCTCTTTTTATTTCTTCTTTTCTTCCTTCTCAACTTTCCTCTTTTTATTTCTTCTTTTTCTTCCTTCTCAACTTTCCTCTTTTATTTCTTCTTTTTTTTTCCTTCAACTCCTTTTTTATTTTCCTTTTTTATTTTCTTCTTTTTTCTTCTTTTTCTTCCCTCTCAACTTTCCTCTTTTATTTCTTCTTTTTCTTCCTTCTCAACTTTCCTCTTTTATTTCTTCTTTTTCTTCCTCTCAACTTTCCTCTTTTATTTCTTCTTTTCTTCCCTCTCTTTCCTCTTTTATTTCTTCTTTTTCTTCCTTCTCAACTTTTATCTTTTATTTTTTCTTTTCTTCTCAACTTTAT